AAAGAAATAGACAAATAGCAGAACTGGACATGTAGAATAGTCAACATCCTTCTTACTGAACATGAAAAATGGCAACATTTGATAATATTAAGCAATTCAGACAGTGCTGGCAAGTTCCTACCAGCCAAGGTAATCTTATTTCTGGTGCTTTTCAGGGTAAATTGATTTTTTTTCCTCCTCTTAGCTGCTCTGATAATTGAACAAACATATACAAGTGTGATGGGATTTTACTTAGCAGACAACACACAAAACATTCCCCAAACATGGCATGTCTTACTCATAAAAAAGCATTTTTGTTGTAATTAAGCAAACTGTATTTAAGCTTGCTTTGTGCCAGAGTAACAATCAACAGCATTTTGCTAGAGACTGCACTCTACCTGCAGGTGCTGAGCATTGTGCTTGCTTCAGTCAGGCTGCAATGCTTTTTACTATCCTGCATTTCTGAATAACTTGGGTAAACGGCAAGCTAGAGCTGGCTGAATCATTAGAGTACCTCATGAAAATCAGAAAGAATGAATTCATGACATATGCATATTACATATTCTTCTAAACCCCATAAAATGCTCCATTTAATGTAACAACCCATAACTTGGAGGTGCTACGATTCTGAATTTGAAGACTTTTTTTCCTTCCTCCTTTTGGAATCTATTTCTAGTTAACTATCAGTTTGCATCTAGAGAATGCTGTCAGATCGTAGCACTCACTAAGCAAGTGTATTTCTATCACTAAATTGCTGATATTAAGCGACACAATTTTCCCAGTCCATGCTGTAGAAACACATCTCATCTATTACAGGCTGAAAGAAACATGAACTCCTAGAAAATTACCTATTGAAGAGGGCTTTAAGGCTGTCATCTTTCACCTTTTAAATGAAGAATGTTAAAAGGAATCATATAAAGACTAGAAGTATTTTCTACACCAGGTATAGATAAGTTACCAATATTCCAGAACCACCTGCTACTTTTATTTTAAAAACTGTTGGAAACAAAATGAAGCTATCTTTGAAAACTATTTAAATATTAAACATGATTGTTAACAGTATAGAGAATGGCCTTAAAATAGGTTGTTGTTTTTCCAGTTTTCTTGACATCCAATTACAACCATGATGGTTAAAATTTTTTACCTGTTTCAAACAGAGGGTGTTTTTAGAAATAATAGAGAGCTTTTAAGTTGAAAAGCTGCACATAAATACTTAAGGAGGTGAATTTCTCGCAATTTCAAATCACTTTTGAACATCATAAACATGAATCCTAAAAAATGCTTTGAAAGAGTCTGATGACAACTCCAAGTAACAGGACTGACTACAAATTTCACTACCCTGTGCTCTTAACTGTCTTGGTTCATAAGTGACTGCTTGTCTACCTGTGCATGGATATGACTTCCATTACACACCACACACAGTTTAACTTCTTCACTTGCAGCTGACTAGGTAAAAATCGCTATTTGTTACTTCCAGTTCCTGTATAATCAGTCATCCACAGATATTCCTTAGTGGAAATGCAGAGGAATCACAGAGCATTTTTTGATATAAAGTGTTACTGGTAGGTTATATGTCATTAATATTAGGCATGGCACAATCCCCAGCAGAAGCCATAGTACAAGGCAACAGTATTTTCTTACAGGTATGTCAACATTTTAGGTGGACAGAGGATGAGCAACGGCTTGGAAATACATAAACTTTAAGTCCAAATTTCAGGAAAAAGTTATGATTGCATTTCTGTGCTCTCTAGATGTCAAACAATGCTTTCTACTGCATGGTTATTATGATTTATATGAATTAATGACACACTATCTAGAAATGTATTTCAAATAAAACTTTGATAAATATTTTGCCTAACTAGAGATTTCTTTCTCCGAAACCTTGAAGTGAAAATTATGGACTTTTAAAAAAAAGCTGTAATTCAAAACTGTAGGAAATTTTCTTCATCACAACTATTCTCATTTAAAAAATATCTATTCATCAAAATGTCATGTCTACATATCACATTTCCAGAATAAAACCAACCATATTATTACATACTATTAACCATAAAGACTACAAACTCCTAAGACTATACTACCTTCCTTATTTAAACTTTAATAAGGTGCTTCCTTACTATGGACTGGGATTCCTGAGTAACTCCCTTTCCTGACTTTACACATTCAAAATAGTAAGAGATAAATAAAACACTGAGAAAGCTTCTGAAGTGATCAAATAAGAACTAACTAAGCACACTTTGGTTTTTTTAAAGCTTTCCTCTTGCTCATTTTAAGAAGGGAAACACCCAGAAGCCTGGTGTTAATGTCTCTGCTGATTGTGAAAATTGCAGCAATAAAAACTCCAACTGCTTGTTTTAAATTAAGACTTGCAAGACTACATGTGAGATCTGTATCTTTACATTAGTTTTTATAACATTTGGAAGTTTGGTTGCCTGCTTTGATGTTGGTCTATTAATGAGCAGGGCAGCCAAAAGCCAGAAAAAAAAATGTTTACTGGAAATTCTCAAGTCAAAACCTGAAGTAATTGGTTTGTTCTACCCCACATGATTCAACATCCTGATTCCCCCAACTACCAGCTCCCTGAGCTATCTGAATGTCTACGCTTTTTTACTGTTGCCAACACATAGTAACCCACAGTGATTGAAAATGGCAGCTGAAGTGCTGCTGCAGCACATTAATTTTTCTCTAAGTGGTCCAATTTTGTCATCTGAATGTTGAAAATCTTCCTTTTACTACTATATTACCTTTAGAGATTTGTCGAATTTGGGGTTGCCCGTCACATAAACCAAAGTGCAACATTTTCAAGACAATTTTTGGATTATTTCTAACAGCTGAAAGGATAATGCGCTTTCTTGATAGCCCTCTGCATTCAAAGCAGACTAGTTAACAGCAACTTAAGTGTGATAATGGCAATTACATCAATATGTTCCTTTTACACCACCAAAAGATACTACTTCAGACAGCTGAAGACATTAGGTAAATAAACTGCTGGAAATTACCTGAGAGTAATTATCTAATTTTAGGACCACTAAATACATCTATTTACAAAATGCCCAAATAGCCGTGTCCATCTAAGAATAACAGAATACTTGAACAACTGCAGTGTTTTTCACCAAGACATACCATATATACTCAGTTCCTTCATTACATGAAAGGAAATTGAAGCCTGAAATTGAATATCCTACTCTAAAGGCACATCACTTTCATGGCAGTAAAAGAAACATCCCCCAAATGGTGAATCAGAAGAAAAAAAAAAATAATAAAACAAACAAACGAACCCACCCAAACAACAGACCAAATGCTACATATCAATGACTTAAACCAACTTTTTAAAAACATAAAATATCTGTATCATTCAAGTAAAAGGTTTGGAAAGAAGCAATAGGTAAGGAAAATTTAGGAAGTTCTTTTTTTTGCCAGAGATATAAACCAGAATACAGTTCCCAAGAAACATCTGGTCCCTGGAAAAGGTCCCAACTTATTGATGGATAACTGGATTTTGCTTGGCTTTTGGGTTACTGGATTATGAATATTGATTTGCAAAGGTAATAAAAGTGTAGGCTAGGCCACATCCCCTTTCAAACTCAAGAAAATAGTAACAAAAGAATAAAAAACTATGAATATGTAGTCTCGTAAAACAGCTTGCAATGCGATAAATGTTCTACACAGCCACCAAAACAGCACTCCTGCCATAGCTGGTTGAGAATTATTTATTATAGGGCAATACTAACCACAAATTAGGTTATCTTTGTAAACACAGTATCACTGATTAAATGAGATTACAAGAATTACTCATTTTCACTTTTTCTAGAATGAAAAGGAAATGGAAGCATATGGCCGGTGGTGATCAAAACTTCTTTTAAAACTCTCCATAAAAATATCTATTATTCCAGCCTACCCACCCATTAAGGAAGGAAGCATATTTGTTTCAAAGGCCTGGAACCAAGAGGTCTTTTATTACAAGATTTCATTTGTTTTCTGAAGTAATTAGAAGGTCTTCCCCATTCATCCCTCCACGCAGTAACGTGTAGGCCATACCAGAGCAAGAGCGCGGGAGAAAGCACTTTCTAAATCCCCCTCCCAGAGAGGAGGAATCAGAAACCAGGCCACAGTGCCTGTCATAAAAGGTCACTTTTTTTGCTCGGAACAAACCATTAATCAATAGAGTGTAATTGTCCGAGCGCTTGCAAGGGCTCTGCAGCGGAGGGACCTTGTTCTTCACTCGCATAATTGCAAAACAGCAAAAGTTCAGGAACATAACCCAAATCCACCTCCCCATTTTACCCCTTTACAATTCCCACTGCCCTTTGGGCCTCTTCTTGGAAGCAAATGGAAGACAAGCTGAAGTTTTCTCAATTGAGCCGGAGCTAAGAAACCTTTGATATGCTAATACCCTCCTTCAAACGGTAAGAATTCACACTTGCATTAATTCAAACAATTTCTGCAGAATGATGCGAAATGGCACCTCTTTTCGTGGCAAGCAACAAAAGGAGGGAGCCGGGGCGTCTGAGGAAGCCAAACAGCAGAACATTTGTTCCGCAGGATTCCTTCCGTCGCGCACAGGGGCATTTCTGGGCAAAGAAAACACACCTGAGCACTAGCAGAGCTCTTTACTTTCTGACAAACCGCGCTCAAATCCCAGCAGGGCCGACGCAGACTAACAACAAGATGTTATTTTTAGAGCCAGACACAGCAACGGTGCCTCATGACACACTGTTTTCTGTCTCCAGATGGCCCCAGATTTCTACATGTGAAAATAAATAGAAATAAAAAGAAAGAAAAAAAAAAGAAAGAAAAAAAAAAGTTGTTCTCACCCCACAGCCGACAAAGGGTAATTTATTCCTCTTCCCACAGGCACCCCCCACCCCGCACGGGCTGGGAGCCGGGCGCTCGGCAGAGTTACACAAATAAACCCGCAACAGGTAATTATTTAGCGAACGGGTGCAACTTTGCGCGCTGCGCGCCGCGGAGCACCGGGCCTGCTCGGCGGGCGGACCCCGGCGCGCAGCCCCCGCGGCGGNCGCGGCCGTGCGGAGCAGCGCCGCCGCCGCGCTGCCCGCGCCAAAGCCGCCGGCTCACCGAGGGGCACATCGCTGCGTCGGCGGCGGCCCCGCGGCAGCGGCAGGCGAGGCAAACCCTAAAGTAAGTGCATCCCTGCCGGCGGCTCGGCAGGGGAACATCCAGGAGTCAGGGAGCAGGCGCCGGCAGGAACGCGCGGCGAGGCTGCAGCGCGGGGCTCCGCTTACCTATGTCTGGGAGCCTAAGGCGGGCCGGGGTCTGTGTCCCCGGCGGGACCCGCGGTCCGGGTCAGCCCGCCGAGCGCGGGGCTGCGGGAGATCGCGGCGGAGTTAGTCCCGGGGCCCCGGCGGCGGCGCGGGAGCGGGCGGGCGGGCGGTGGGCTGGGGCGGGAGCGGGCGGCAGCCGGCGCTGCGGCTCGGAGGGCTGGGGCAGCGCAGAGCAGGGGCGGCTTCTTCTCCACGCAGCCGGCCGGGAGGGTCTTCTCGGTCTAAGTCAACATTTTCCTGCAGTTCCCCACACTCCGCTCCGCGGCAAAAGCGCGATGCAGCCAGGCTCCCGCAGGCACGCACACAAGAAATAAATTCAGTAAAAAAATTAAAAAAAAAAAAAAAAAAAAAGCCGAAATGGAGAGGAGGACGGGCGCAGTGCAGTGTGTGTGCCCAGCCTCGGGAGTCCCTTCTGTGAAGCGATCAGGAGGCGATGCCAGCAGCTGGGGCAGCGGGGAACAACTCGAATGTTACAATGGACCCCCTCCTCCGTGTCTCTGTCGCTCGCACCGACCGGATTCACATCTCCCGGGATGACATTCTGGCCTCTGGCAGAGTGCGGGGCCGGCCCCTCCTCAGATTTTCTCCTCTTCTTCTCTGTGCTGCTGCCCCGCCAACGACTGGAGATCGGACGCTGAGCAAGTAACGCGCGCGGTAATGGGAAAAACGCAATACATACACACCAAAAAAAAAAAAAAAAATCCCAATGAATGTATGGCAGCCTCTCCGTGCTCGTGCACCGCTCCGTCTGCGGCTGGGGAGCGCCAAGTCCTGACACGGACTCTCTGAACTGGAGTCACCTCCAGCCTCCTCCCCCTCCAATCTCCACCCCTTCTCCCTGCGCTCCCACCCCTGGGCTCAGCTAATCATATAAACATATTATCACGTAGAGCGGCATCGGCGAAGGACAAAAATCTCCCCCTTCCTGTCTTTTTTCAGTCCCCCCCCCCCCCGCCCTTCATTCATTTGGGGGGGGGATGGGGGTGCTGAAGGCTAAATAGCGGCCGCTCGGCACCGGAGGCCGCGCAGACCGGCTGCCGCTGCCCGCGCCACCGCCGCGGATGCCGAGGGGCGCGCACCGCCGCGGAGCCGCTCGCCCGCCGCCGCGGAGCCGACCCGCCCGCGCGGCGATGCCGCGCACCCCGCCTGGTGCGAGGGCCCGAGCGGAGCTGCCCGGCCGGCTGGGCTCGCCGCGCCGGGCCGGCTCTCCGCGCCGCAGCGGCTGTCCCCCGCCTCCCCTTCCCCGGCATCAGCCAAAAATCGTTCACCGGCTGGGCGAGCAGCGAGAGAGGGCAGGCAGGGCGGGAAGACGGGGGTCCCGGCACCCCAGCGCCTTCACGGCTCCGCTGGTCCTTTCCTTCTTTCCTTCGCACTGACATGGCCCGGCTTCTGCCCGGCAGGGACGGCGCGCCGAGGCACAGCGATGCGTTAGGGAAAGCATGTCAGGGCAGGGTAAACAGCACTTGGAAACGATTTAAAGGATACTCAGTTGACTCACTGGTGTGCTCGGATACAAAACGCAGTGTAGTAGCGTTGTTGCATTCTCCCAAAAATCTGCGCTTAGAAACAAGATCTGGTGCTGTAGGGTTTGTGTTTCTCGTCTGCATGGACGCAAAACACTGAGAATCCGCTCTGACCTTTCAGGATGTGCACCATGGGCAATTCCCAGCTCTCAAGGTCAGGGAGAAGCAGCTGGGCATTAGCGAGGGCCGGTGCCAGCGGGGGGCGAGGGCCGTGCGTGCGTCCCACGCTCCGCGCCCGCCGGGGCTGCGGTGACCAGAGGGAGCTTTGACAGCCGCGGTCAAAGCAGCTCAGGCTTGACCTGATAACTGCCCCCTCCCTTTGTTTGGGGATTTTAGCCATCCCCTCCCTCGCTGCAGCACTGAAATGAAATCCTCTCAACTGCCTCTACTCACGAAATCGCATGCACTGGGCCGGACCACTTCGGGCTTGATCAACTGTTTTAGGTCCAAAGCACATTGACAATCCAGAGTACAACACCTATAATCAGGATCATTACCCTTGTTAATGGTAATGATTTATTTTTTTACTTAATCATTTTGATGTCTCTGCATACCTGTGCAGTTAGTGTTTAGAAATTGTAGCATGTATTAAGAAAAACAGGACATGATAAAAGGAGACTGGATCTTGAAGACCTTGCAATATGGAGCGCTGAGAACCATAGAGCTGGTCCAGGGCTCTTCAAAACCACATTAGACTTTCAACAATGCTAGCAACAGTCTTGGGGGTGAATATCTAGAAGTCATTGAAGTATGGACATGCCATAGCCATGCTGGCCTTCCTCAGTTCAGGGTGTCTGTCCAGGGGACTGGGGAGTGGAAGAACAATCTCAAGCTTTTAGGCCCAAAGGAAGAGTTCTACCACAGTTAGCAGCACACCTTCCTAAGATAAGTTTCAATTGGGTTAAATCTGCAAAATGCCTCAAACAGAATGGAAGGACAGATCATCTATGTAACAGTTTTGTACCTACTATATATAGTTAAAAGCATGGGTTTCTGTGAGATCAACATTTAGCAAAAGGGCAGAGTCTCTATTAAGTTCTTGGTGTATTCCTAATATAGCCAATTGCCCTTTCTTGCTATCCTTATAAACACCTGTATAAACCCTAAATAACCCCTTATGCATTTCCAGTGGAATTAAATTATACAGGCATTTTAATGTATTTTATGAGAAGCTGATTTTCATTGAAAGATCTGGACGCATCTGTTACAGAAACATCCTTTAAAAGAGGGTCACAGAAATATAAAGATATGCATATTGACTTGCTATGATTTTACCAAAGTTTTAAATTTTATCATTAACGAGTCCTTCTTTCTCTCTCTCTTTCTCTCTTTCTCTTTCTTTCTCTCCTTCTTTCTCTCTTTCTTTCTGTCTTCCTCTCTTTTTCTTTCTTTCATGTAATTGCAGATAAGCAGTGATACCCCTGAGCTAACAGACTTTTGCTTAGTTGATGAGAACAGGATTTAGCCGGAAAACTGTCGATAATACAAGAATTATCTAGGGTTGATGGTTTTCCTTTGAGAGGACATGAGAGAGAGAAGTTCTTCTGTTTGCAACAAAAAAAACCTCTGCTGGGTTCTCTAATTTTTTTTCTGCCTACAAAAAGATTGAAAAGAACGGCAGAACTAGGCTTTGTGCTAATATTTGCAGAAGTCAAAGTGAATTCACCTATGTGGATTCAAATGTAGGACTGAAGTTCATTTTCCCTCTTTTCATCAAAAACTTCTGGAATCATATTTCTTTCTACATGCAGAGATGGAGTTTTACAACTCTTTTACAATGGCAAGCTGTAAAACTGGGTTTTAAACAATTGCTAAAAATGCAGAGACCTTTTTGCATTTGTTTCTAAAACACATGTTTCCATTAATTCTCATTAAAACTGCATTAAGATATAAGAATACCTGGCAGAGGTGTATATTGTTTTGGCAAGTATAATACTACTATTCAAATGATTAATTTTACTTCACATGAATCAGCATATGTTTCTTTAAAAGAAAAATTGTACACACATGTACTCACAGCATACGTAAATCTGATCCTTTAGTTTTTACTCAGCCACATTTATTGCCAGATTTGAATATTAATATGTAAGAAGGAATTATAACAAATCAATTTTCCACCATTATGACTTCCTACTATTTACTTTTTGACATATCCCTATAAATATGAATCTTACTCCACACAGACAAGAAGAAACAAGTAGATTTTCCTTAAAATCTTGCTTTGCTACAACAGTGCAAAATATCTAGTTTGAAAACATGAGAAGAAATATTGCATTCTTATCAAAATATTTTGTGATATTTTGTCCCCACTCTTTATAGCAATTTCTAAAATAATCACAATTGTGTATCAATTAGCATTTCCAGGGCCCACGTGTAGGACAGTAACAACTGGAAAAGATTGAAATGTCAGCTGTGTACTTGAAAGAGATGCATCTGAGAAAGATGATTTAACTTGTGGCAAAAATTGGCTAAATCATTATGTCTGTAATATGATCTTACAGGCTGCTCTAGCTTTTTTTTTTTTTTTTTTTTGCTTTTTTTTTGGTCATGGAATTGCATTTTATATCTGCCTATTCTTAAAAAGGTTAGTTTAAAATGTTTCAGTACCTTGATAAATAATATTTTGTATTGCCCTAAGTGTCAGTTCCCTCATGAGTAATGGTTTACACAGATTTTATGCAGCCTGTTTTTTTATTACTGCAGTTTTATGACTGAACTTTAAATACTAGCGACTGACATTTCCTCTTATCTGTCTGTACTCCTGTGAATAACGTATCAATGAACCTGTAATTAGATGTAATGTTGGCAAAGACTGACAGAAGAGGTAGTAAATACAGGTATGCATTATTATCAGCTAAAATTGGGGCACTCATATAAAGACCCAGTTTAATTGCTATGATGTAAAGACTTCATTTTTTTTCCCAAGGAAAAGTAACAAACCACTAAATGATTTTAGCATTTCAACATAAAACAAAAAAAGAGAAAACTTTGCTTGTTTTGTTTAGGAAAATCCCCAATTAATTTTGCAGGCAAATTTATATGAATAAACTGTGAATGATACAACCCATAATAGGAAATATCCAATGTATTGCCTTAAAAGTTTGGAAATATATCTTGACAATTACCGGCCTTTTAAACTAAGTAATTGATTTTACTGTCACTTGGGGAAAAAAAGCCAAAACTAAACCCATCAATAAAATAAGAGAATTCTGCAGCTGTTTCTAACAAATAAATGTAATATGAATTTGCATTTTGCATAGTTTACTTCAGTAATCAATTTTAATGACTCATAATCTATATCATTATTTAAGAAATGACAAAATCATTGACTTATTCATAACACTTGCTAATTGTTTTTAAAAATAAATTCTACACATGACTAAGGAAACACCCATTTCCACTTGCTTTATGTTAAATCAACATCTAACCACTCATGGTGATTTCATTCAAAGAAAACAGAAGGAACACATTAGCTGTGTGGTTAAAGAGATTGATGGGCTTCAAACATTTTAACCATGGATGGTTTTTTTCCAACTGTAGAGACGCATGTTTTTAATTTAAATAGCTTCAAGAAAATGAAGATCATTTTATTCAACAAAGCTGTTTTCTCTTGTTTCTTAGAAATTAATTTAATTTTGTTTAATTAAGTAATATTAGAAACAACTTGGTTCAGAGAAAATGCAGCTATGAAACAAAAGCATGTGTATGCCATATTAACTCCTATTCTGAAACAGAATTTTTGTCTCACATTAATAAATTAGAAGAGATCAATATGATTTTTGCCAGCGAATTTAGATGCAGTTTTTAATGCCGTATTTTTCAGTTACC